AGACCCAGTCAGGGGTGACACTATTTGGTATCACATCTCTACAGAGCAAAACATTTAAATCACAAAGTACAAACCTCTTCTGGCCCCTCATTTGCACTGGAGCTCCCAGAGCGCAGAGGAGGTGGATGCTGGGGAGGGATGTCCAAGCACCATCCCCTGGCACCATCAGGGCTTGGAGATGGCAACAACTGAAAGCTGTTTTCAGGGTGCGCAAAATACTTCTATGTTCTTAAAAAAACAGCCTTAAGAAAAACAATGTTTGGTTTCCTACAAATACTTTCCAGATATTCATGATGCAAATAATAGAAGTAATAAAAACCAAGTCAGAAGCTACGGAAGGAAGCAGAGATTGCCCAACAGAACCAGGAGCTTTTGACACAGGATGTGAGGTGCATCATCAAACCAGCAATTAAAATCTATGCAGGTTTATCCAGGTCTGGGAACAAGGTAGGAGTTTTACTCATACCAAGAGGTTTTGAGTCAAATCTAAGCAAACAAAACTGAGAAAATCCATTCTGTTAAACAGTGGAAAATCAGGCAAAAGCGGGCCCAACTTCACAGAATTCTTACAGTAACATAGTTTGCAGTCCATTAATCCCAACACGTTCATAAACTACACAACAGACACAACTTATAGTAATAACCTTGGATTTGTCGGCAGAGGATAGAATATGAAGTACAGTGCTAAAAGCTACATGGATTTATTTTTATTCCAGAACTCCCCAACAGAGGCTTTGCCCACGGATCAACAGCAGCAGTGGGGAATGTGTAATGGCCATCAAAGTCTGCAGGGGCTGTGCCAAATTTATACATCATCTTATCAATGAAACCCAGAGGTCCTTTCTAATCAATACTGTTGAGAGGAAAAGGAAAGAGTGTGAGTTATTGAAATCATTTCCTTGCAAAAAAGATATTCTGGCTTAATGCAACTGTCAGGCACAGGGAGCCTCAGAGCAAGACAAAACTCACTCCAAAGAGGTTGCAATCTGAGACAGATGAAGGCAGGGAGAAAGACACTTTTTAACCTGTTAGTGCCACCTTTATGCTCTGTCCAGCCCCTGGTTCAGAAAAGTCGCTGTGAGTTCTATGTAAAAATAAATAATTAACTTGTTCTCAAGTCAATTAGAGCCCTGGGACCCGTGAGCTGTCTGCACAGAGGTGAACGTGACTGGTGGTACCATTGGGTGTCCTTGCTGCATCTGGCTTGGTCCTTACATTGATGCAGACAGACAGGCCCTTAACATCCTGCCTGGGATCACTCTGTGTGGAACACACCAGTGTGAGGGGTGCAGCTCACTGAGAACCCTTCCTCTGAGCAGTACTTAACTCAGTGCTCATCAATAGTGTGAGTAGCTTTAACTTCATAGAAACCTGAGGACAGCAAGAAATTCTGGGCTGTGGCTGGAGGCTTTGTTTAGCTCTGGAGTAGTGGAATGGAGGTTTTCTCCCAAAATGTGGCGGTTTCTCCAGTGTTACAAAGAGCCATCAAATCCCAGCCTGGTTTGGGTTGAAGGGCCCTTAAAGCTCCTCCAGCTCCAACCCCTGCCACGGGCAAGGACACCTTCCACTAGAGCAGGTTGCTCCAAGCCCCTGTGTCCAACCTGCCCTTGAACACTGCCAGGGATGGGGCAGCCACAGCTTCTCTGGGCACCCTGTGCCAGCGCCTCAGCACCCTCACAGGGAACAGCTTCTGCCTCAGAGCTCATCTCAGTCTCCCCTTGGGCAGGTTCAAGCCATTCCCCTTGGCCTGTCCCTACATCCCTTGTCCCAAGCCCCTCTCCAGGTTTCCTGGAGCCCCTTTAGGCCCTGGAGCTGCTCTAAGGTGTCCCCTTCAGGAGCCTTCTCTTCTCCAGCTGCCCCAGCCCAGCTCTCTCAGCCTGGCTCCAGAGCAGAGCTGCTCCAGCCCTCGCAGCAGCTCCGGGGCCTCCTCCTATTTCTTTCACACTTTGTGTCCTTTTGGGAGGATCTTCTCTTACAACCACATTACTCTCTCAAAGCACTATGGAAGCAGAAGCCCCATGCTGCTGCCCAAGCTCCTTCATAATCACCCCATGCAAGTTTTCAGTCTGAGGAAAGAGACTATGGCAGTGACAGCCCAGTTCACTCCTACTCAGATGATAACCAGCAAAGAAACATTCCCCCAGCTCCAGACACAGGTGACTCACTACAGAAGTCTGTTTAAAAACAGACTGTGAGAAATATGAACAGGAGTGAAGTCCTGATTGAAAGCCCTGGGGGAGCAGGTAACAAGCACATGGAAATGCTAAATGGGGAAACACCATCAGCAAAGAGAAGGATCAAAGTCATATTCAGAGAACTGGATGATCCTAAAAGCTGTAGTAACAGCGGAGTGTGAAATTCAGTGTTAAAAAGGGTTGGTTTAATAAAAGAACTTGGTTGTCTTCCAACCGAGTTCTCAGACAAGACTTTGGCCAACTTCAGAGCTGAGGAAAAGGACAACGCAGTTTTGTTTCACAGCAGAGAGGATTGGGAATTTTACAACAATGTGTAAATGGACAGGAGAATGTAAAACCTGATGCAAAATGTTTCACTGAAAACATTGACTTGCTGAGATAAAACCATACCCTGAACAGATTACATGTGCTTCTCATAAACGTCCTGGGATTCATTTTGAACTGGCACTACATTGCCAGTTTAAAATAAATCCTTACTTTAAAGAGCTGTTTCAGTTATACTATAAAAATACACCAAAAAGCGCTCAAATTTGGGAAAATACTTCCAAGCTTGTTAATACTGACCTTATTATTGTGGATAATGATCTTTGTGGACGTGACAACCTTCAATGCATTGGTTTATTCGTCATGACTCACAGTCAACACCACCATGGAACAGCTCTATTCCCCGTTCAAGCAGGAGTAAAGAGGCTTAACAGCTCAGGGCAGCTGTGGTGAGAAAATAACAATACATAACAATAGTAAAATAACAGTAAAAAGTAATAGTAAAGTATCAATGTAATAATGACAGTAAAATAACAATATAATAGTAAAAGACAAGTATGATAGCAATAACGGAACAGCCTGATTTGAATTCTAAAAGCAAAACCTTACATTTATGGGGAAGAAAAGAGCAGAGGGAAGCAGCAGCCTTTGGGGATACATCTATGGGATACATCTATGGGATACGAAGCCAGGAGAGGGCTGAGAGCATCCGGGGGAAGTGGCTGGAGTTTGGGAGTAAGCAGGCAAAGCTGCTGAGCCAGGGAATGGAGCAGGATGAGCAGTCACTGCAAATCTACACTGGGTCAGAGTGGGGAGACTGAGACCTAGAGAAAAAAGAAGGGAAAATGTAAAATTCCTGGTATCAGTTGACCAAACCAAGTTAGTACAAACAGCCTTAATTCTCAGCCAGATGACTGACTTTGTAGCCTTGAAGTTTCCATAAAGAGAAATGTGTCTGGTTGGTCAAAGACAGAGAATGAATAACATTTTACAGATATTGCCTGAAAACCTACAAACCAGAGTGGATGTTCTTTGCATTTAAGATTCTTGCTTCTTTGTGTAAGACAATGCAACCCATCAGTGATCTACAATGGGGGCCTAAAAAACCCTCCTGCTTTATAGAGAAAAAATGGGGCAGACTGTGGCCACAGGCACTGAATTCTCCCGACTGCAATGAATGGAGCAGTGCACATTACAGTTAGCTACTTAAATGATGTGTTCTGCTGAGAGATGCAGAGGGCAGAGCCAGGTTATTCCACAACTCAAGCTGAGCACCAGCACAAGACAGGCTTTTCACGGCTTACATGTGAATGTCAGACAAAGTAATTTGAATGAGACAGGGATTTGTGAGCATAACCTCAAGCAGAAGGATTATTTTTGACAAAGGGCTACAAGAATTGTTGTTTCTTTGCTTACAGAAAACAAAACTAAGGGACTGATACAAGTAAACCAAAAGGCAAAAGTGTTATCAGAGGCACACAAGGAGAAGCGCAGTGGTTGGGAACAGTGGGGAGTCATCAGGTCCCTGGACACACACTGGAGAGTAGGGAATTCTCAGGCTGCTGTTTGGATTGTAAGGAAAACCCCCAAAGCATGGTTTTATCCTCAGAACCGGTGATAGACACAGAGGCTCTTCCTGCACTCAGTGTTCTGCACACTACAAAGGGATATACCCACTTTGGGGTCATTCCTCCATTTGGCTTGTGCTGGGTTGTTGTTCCCAGGGATAATAATGGGAAATGAGGCTGGGCAGAGTAAGGCAGCTCCCCAGTGACAGCCACAAGCTTCTGTCCATGCCATGGGACAAGCAGCATTGTTGGGAACTATGAAAGTGGTCGCTTGCACTCATGAAAGGGACAGTGGTGTCTGCTGGTGCATGTCTGCACATGGAAAACCCATCTGGGCACGGGGGGACAAAGGCCAGTCTTCAAAGTGAGGCACTCAGGGAAGCCACCTCCTACAAAGCAGGCACCCTGCCTCTGGAGTATTACCTTCTTTGTCTCTTTTTCTTTTTTCCAATGAGTTATATAGAAGGGGCATCTCTAAGACACCTCATCCTACTTGAGCAGAAAGGTCTTCAGATTGTTGTAACTCAGAGAATATATTATGTACGTTTGATATTGAAACCAGCATCAATAACGCAGCATGAGCTGCCTTGAGGAGGGCTCCTCGCGTTGTGCCTCCTGACTTGCAATCAGCCATCCAGGCTAACTGGGAAATGTGTTTTCTAGGTGACAGCTTCTGAAATCAATGTTTCGCTGCACTGAAAAATAAATGAATAAAACCCTGCCCAGGGTGCCAATAGTTTAACCAGAACATCACTGCAGCAGA